TTTTTTTTTTTTTTTTTTCAAGAAGCCGCTATTTACATCCATCATTATATATATATATTGGACATTTTTATAAAACTCTAATATTCATAAAATATACTCTTCAACTAAAACCAAAATAACAATGGATCCATCAGAACAAATACATACAGACATAGCAATATATGAAGAAAATTTGAAAAATTAAGGATTAACTTTTATTGTGCATTTGATGAATAATGTGTAAGGATTCTTGATTTGTTTTTGGGTTATTTGATAACGGGCCTTTTGAATTCAAATAGTATCAGTAAGAAATTTCACGTCGAATTATTAGACTTTTCTACTAGAATTATCTTTCTTATCTTGATTTTCTCGAATTAAAAATTCCTTGCTATGTTTTCTGATAAGAATATCAAAACATGAATTTGAATTTTCTGCTGAGATTACCTTCTTTTCTTGATTTTCTTGAATTCAAATAATGGTGGCTAATTTGCTTAAGTAAAGAAATTTGATAGTGCACTGTGCATATTGATGGTAATGGTCGAAAATATAAAAAGATTATGAAGGATTTAGAACGGGAAAGATATATAAAATTATATATATGGTGTGGATATATAGATATATAAAAATTGTGTGAATAGATATATGAAATGATTGAAGGAATTATGACAAAATAAATATATAAAAATGGCGTGGATTTATATTGTTTAAATGAATAAATTTTATAAGGACAATATTGTAATGTAATGTAGATGAAAATAGTATTTTCCAAAAAAAAAAAAATTGAACTTTTAATAGGGATGGATATAGAGTTGTGATAAATATATAATAGTGAATGTAAACCCATGTTTGACCCTCATTATTTGAAATTTTAATGGTTGAAATAATGTTTTTTTTAAAACGTATTGTTAAAAAAGAAAAAAAAAATTGAGATTATGCGTAATATTATTTTATTGGAGAATGTGTATGTGACTAATAAAAAGAAATAAAAAAATGAATTATAATTTTAATGGGGACCAATCAAGAACTAAATATCAACCCCTTTTTATTGCTTGCTTTTGTTATATTTTCTTTGATTTTTTTTTTTTTATGCTCTCGTAACATTTATATTGTATTGAATTTAGAAATTTAAAATATTCTTATTCACCAAAAAATTAAGAATGAATAATCCTGAATAAGATTCAAAGTTTAGATTTCTTATTCTGTTTCTTTTCACTCAATTTTTATTAATCTTGGTCTTCTTTAAAAAATAAAAGAAAATAAAAAGTTAAGTTGACAAATATTATTATCTATTGAGAATATGAGATGCAACTTTTTATTAATCTTGTTCACGTGTATTTATTTTACCAAAAAATTGACTTTTTAACTATAAGTAGATAGAGGCAGATTGTTTAGTCCTACTCATCTTCGGCCCTAGGGGCCCAATTGTCACAATATCAAAAGCTAGGGGACCCAACTGTTAAAATAAAAGATTAAGAACAGTTGCTAGATATACCCATAAGTTGGGGGGCTTCAGATTCAAGAATTTCTATATGTATACTTGCTTCCCTGACTGGAGGCTGCATAACAAAATTCCAGTCCCATGATTTCTTGTAAATCTTCACTACCAAATGACATTCCTGAGTTATTCAGCTGCTCTATATTGATGCTTTTCACCATTCTTGCAGAGCTCCAAACTTGCGCGATAATTGTGCCATTTCTTGTATCTTTGATCACTAGGCAACACAGGTCGAAGACGAGAGGCAGATTTGCACTTCAAGCAGCAACATCCTTTCAACTTATCCACGCATGCAAAGCAGCATCTGCACGAGTCAAGTTAGAACAAAAATTTTGTACATGTTCAACAAAATAAGGAATGTGAAAAGCAAACAAGGATAAATCATTATCTGTTCACACTTCACAATATCTACAAAGCAGATGGTAAACCCTGTTCAGGTCAATGGAGTGTTCAAAACCCTGGCAGATAGCACACTACGTGCAGGTTCAGAAAGGACAAAAGAATCACTACTAAGGCACGAACATGAATGGATATATGGAATAGAGTGAGTGTGTGCGTGTTCATCCAGTGACGGAAGAAGGAAGTGTTAGGTGACAACTGGTCTCATTTCTCAAAGAGACCCCTTTCCAAATCACCAAGTTCTTAAATGAACATGACAATCTTTATTTTATTTTTTAAAATCATCCCTCATAGGAATGATAAATTGCAGAAAATCTCGAATTTTCAGAAATCAACAACCAGAAACAAGAGAAAAAGAAAATGTGAAGATACCCCTACTTAAATTGAAATTTACATATCTAATCAATATTCTTTACTTTTACAAATATGTGTATTTCAATATCAGAGCAAAACTATATAACCAATATCTACTTATGCTAAAAACTAAAAAAATGAAAATGTATGTTCATAATGATACTATCAGGAGTAAAACATATATATTGGCCCTAAAATCGATGACATACTCGAGCCTGACGCTATTTTGGGTTGGTGGGGGAGGGGGTTGTACAAAACAAGAAAACCCCTTTTAATTAAATCTACTAAAAGGCTTAATGAAATCAAAAGATGTGCAACCATAACAAATGGTGATAGTTTTAGCCTACCCATCGTTTCATTGTGATTTGATTACTTCTAAGAATGAGAGTCTATTTAGGCTTCTACTCACAAATGCCCCCAACCATTTGCTTCTTCCTTCCCTTAGCTGATGGTGTCATCTCTACTTGGTACAAAGCTCCTGCCCAGAGCCTGGGATTGCTTGCTAACTCTCGGCCACTTATTAGGAAGTGCAACTTGACAGTCAGAGGTAATCCGCGAGAAAACTCTACTTTTTAATTTATTCTACTTAGTCTTACTTTAGGATTCCAAAGTATCAATCCAAATTTCTAACCTACTATTCTCATCAACTAAAACTATATCGCCAGCAAATGACATCATTTCAAATCAATAGGCATATTAAATCCTTTTTGAAATCAATTAACATCATATATAAATCTTGTTTCTTTTCTCTGTAATTTTCCATCAACTGTCGAAGTAGGTAAATAGCTTCTATCTCCATGACATAAAAGTGAACAGTCTGATACTTCTGAACTACACCTTAATCTATACCACTCATCGACCCCTATTATTTGATAGTATGGCTCACAACTTCATGCCCCTATAGCCTGTAACATATTTATGATCATTCCTATAAATATATAATATAACACTCTTCCTCCATTCATCAAACATCTTTTTCTTGTTCAAGATTTAATTGAAAATTTTGCTCAATCATAAAATACCAACATTTCCAAAACTTTGATAGGGGTTCCATCTAAACTAATTGTTTTCCTGATTTTTATCTTTTCCCATCTGTCACTACTGAAATCAAATCTATGTGATGTAGATAACATTCTAATTTCAATTGAGTTTTGATAAATCCTAACACTATGTCTTTCTTTATATAATTTGTAAAAATAATTTCTCCATTTTTATGATCCCTTGCAATGAAACAAAATCTTTTGTTTCATCCTTAATACACTTACTTATATAAAATCAAATTAAAAGAAGAAACTTGTTGACCTTTAAATTCAAGGAAACTGCTCATGTACAACACGTGTTGGATCTGGTCCTAAAGAGTATGCTCTTCAGTTTTTAGACCTTAATGTATTTGCTATGGCTTTTCAAAATAAGAGTGATTTTGCTTCCATTAAAGGAAAAAGCTAACAGGACAAAAGAGACATAATATGGTCATAACCGGAGAGGAAAATAGTTTATCTATAACAAGCCTATGCATGTATAGCTTTCCTAGAAAAAAAATCATCCCATGTTCTTTCCATGAATTGTCATTAAAAAGGTTTTTCTGGATGATTTTTTTGAATGCTAAAAAATTTTCATTTTACAATCGAACAAAAAGTTGTCATATTTGTAATACTTTATCCGGGATATAATCCAATGGCTGCAAATGGAAGGTTGGCAACCTAACTGCACTGTTTCGTAAAGGATAGGGACCTCAAATGTAATTTTCTCTAAAATATATATTGATTTCTCTTGAAGAATAAAAACTTACAGGAAAAGTAGGTTGCAGTCAAGATTTGCACAGTTGCGGTGCCTCAACTCCGAAACTTGTGAGCCACATGTGAAGCATTTAGCAAATGAATTATTCTGGGATGTGTCTTGCATTCTACTAGCTTCAGTATTAATTTTTGGCTTATAGGTAGAAGGTGGTAGAGAAAGACGGTCATCAAAAACAAACAGATTTCCAACCCATCCAACAGAACCTTCATTCTCGAGATAATGAGAAATACCTCCTTCCAGAGTATATAGACTTTTGAAACCTCGTTGCCTGGTGCATAAACCAGAACTAGTTAGTGCAATCCAACAAAACATGAAAGGGAAAGTAGAACTTATGAGAAGTCCTTTCCATATTATGATCAAACACAGAGAGAAAATAATTGCAAGAATAAGTTTAACAGCAACAACAAATGAACTTAAAGGATATATATTGCCTAGCAATTCATGCATATTTTCCAAGATGTGAATAAACTAACAAGAACTACATGAATACCCAACCTGCAAAATGTTAAAAAGACAATTCAACGTAACATCGAACCTTCCAAGTAATCTAATCAAATATTAAGAGAAAGAACAGAAGTATACCCCCATCTAACTCCTGTGACCATGGACAGAAGTGACGACGACTCATAAAAAGTTCAAATTATTTATCATCAGTCGGTAAAGGAACTACGTTGATAGTTCAATAAATGGACATTAGGGATGTCTACCATGCTATCACAGTCCAGGTAAGTATTACTTACTAAGCAAGTTGAAGTTCAAATTACAGAAAGCTTCATTATGGAGTTTGCACTGGAGATCACAATCCTAATGAAAGCAATTACCTTCCTCAGATGGAAGATCACATGCCACAATTACGCATTTACCTAGGTGTAAAAATAGAATGTAGATTTATTTGTTTCTAATAATTATTAGTTCTTCAGTCAGGACACTTTCCAATTTCATATTCTAGTACTTTCTCCATTGTTGTTAGGAATTTTATGTATAAACAAGACTAATATTGTTGAACAATTTTGAGATCGATTTTTGTGATGTTCATTATAAGTGAAATTTACCAATACATTTCTGCCCCAAATTATCCAATTTCTCCACTCTTTTGTCTTTCTCCTTAATGTTCGACATCAGATCACTTAAGAGAACACAAGTCGGTCCCTTGTAATTAAGTCATGAAACATGATTGGCTGATCAGAACTTGAGACTACAATCTAAGAGATCTAAGCTGAACAGAAAAAAAATATAAGGCCTTGATCATGTTGCTTAAGTATTTTTTTTATGACAAACCACACAATTCAAAAATATCAAAGAAAAGTGGAGACCAAGAAAAGAAAGGGCGTGTAAATTTACATGGTTCTACTCAATGAAACCTATATAGATGGAGCGAAATGATGAATCAAGTGATAGCTAAGCCCCGTTTGACAACCATTATTTGAAAATTCTCTCTTCTAAATACTCATTTTCAACCGCTCATTTACACAATAAAATATTCTGCACGTAAACCCAAAACTTTTCACTACTTTTTAACCACACATTCTCCTAAAAATCACTATTCAAAAAATTGTTTTTCCCGAATAATGGTTGTCAAACAGGGGCTAAAGCTTGTTTCCTCGTTTAAAAAAACAGTGGCAGACTTTCACTAGGATTGATCATATTTTAGGCCCCAATATAAGACATCAATAACATCTGATAAATTGATTCTCAGGGAGAAAAATTAGTATTTAGAATAATGAAATTCATTTTCAGTGTGTTCTGGAATATCCATATAGAGTTCATGAGAATATAGAGACAAAGGCATGCATTATATTGGCTGCGATAATTTTGTGAATTCCCTGTTTTAAAACACACTGCACCAGTTTCGGACATGAAAATACATGCAGACTGGAAAATGGAAACAATAAAAAAAAAACTCAAATTAAGCAAAATCTACCTAAGTATAGTGGAGTACACATCACAGCGGATTCCACCAGTGCAATACATCAGTATATCTGTTTTCTCTTTATCAACATTAGCCAAAGGATCTGTAGCCATGACCTGGACATAGATTAGTGGAAAATAAGAATATGCATAAAAGTTATCTTGCGAAACAGGAGATTTTTGAAAGAAAAAAATTGCGAAGGAAAATAATTCCAGCAACTTATTTTGTGAAATGATAGTCATGGTTGTGCACCTCAGGCCAATTTAACAAGAAGATAAAATTTTGTAAACCTGTATTAGTACAAAATGCTGGAGAATACTCAATAATCATCAACTGATTTGAACTATATGTCATCGGATGGCCCTACCTCAGACTCTGATAGGCCAAAAGAAGTGCTTCGAAAGCAGTCCACATCAGGGCGCTGAGCCCCTTGGAAATGACCAACGTCCCATTCATAACCTAGTTGTCAGTAAATCACTGATTTTTGACCGAAAAATATTAAGTGAAGATTTTATGCATAAATGGAATTAGTAATAAGAAAATGCGTCTTACATAATTGACTGTTCATCTAAACAGATCTAAATGAAAGAATTTGTACACTTCCTAGAAATCATATACAAGAAATGAGAAGATATTATCAGAATATTACGAATAGAAAAAATGAAATATGAAGAAGGGGATATTTCCGGTGTGAAAAAGTGTCACACCAAGTCACCAATAGAAAAGAGTGTATTGCTGCCTGTGTAAAAAGTGGGTGTCTCTCAGTCTCTCTATTTGAAAATTCAGCAAGTTTTCAAATTAATTAAACCTATGCTGTCTTAACTTAACATTATTGACTAGATTTGACTTTTTGGTGCTAAATGGATAAAAGAGCACAGATATTTTACGCTCTATCATGCAACAGCACATGTTCTCAATATAAATTAGATTCTGACTATTATATTTAAGCCTCCACTTCAACCAAATTATAAATGGTTTACAAATTCCGTCAAAGCCAAACATTAATTTAAATCGCACATTCATAACTACTAATCATTTATTATCCACATATATCGGGGGACCCATCACCAATTTGAGTCCCCTCAGGGTCAATGAGGTGAGTACCCTGTCGTAAACTTCAGGGTCTTATGAGATTAGTTGAGGTGCGTGCAAGTTGACCCGAACATCCACGGTTTAAAAAAAAAAATCGCGGACCCATTACTATTCATCTTTATAAATGATTTATAAATTTGCCAAACGGAAGCAAAGAAAATCAATATAAAAATCAATATAATTCTTCAATAATGAGAACTTTAAACGGATGAGAAATCGAATCGGAGGGCAAAAAATGTGTTACTGAATAAATTTCGTTCAGGTACCCATTGAGATCAAAGCTTAAAGCTCATTACTTTGAACCAGAAGACATTTAAATTATGAAAATAAACTTCAAGCACATTGTGCATCGGCGTAAAAAGTGACAGATTGAAAGATCACTATAAGGCAAACGGTATTGTACTGACCAAATTATCAATATGATAGACTTTGATATGCTCATTAAATGAGGGTCGCGCATGACACAACAAAAAATTTACAAATAAAAATAAAGATCACCCTTATGCTCGAATATACGCATATTTAGTTTACCTACATTTTTGTTACTTATCATAATATAGAACAGAAAAAGGTCAACCAACCAAATGATTACATGAAAATATATGACTATATGATAATAAGCTTTCCACGAAAAAGAATGTCAGAAAATATTTTATGTTGTATCACACAATTTAAAAACTCTGTTGACTATTCATTGTGCAGATTCACCAAAGAAACAGATCATCTTTTGTCATGATGTTACTAAATTAAAACATCTTGTGTCCTTAGGACTTATTGGAATTCGATCATGTAGCTGAGTATTCATACACTTTAACATTAATAAATGAAACACCAAGAAACCGTCCACATGCAGAATTGACAGGAGATAATCTTGGTTACATCAGGTGAAAAGTAAACCCAAGCTGGTAGATGCAAACCACATGGCTTAACAACACTTCTGAAAAGTAGTGAAAAGGTACCATTTCTAACATCGAGTAGAATGCAGTGTGTATTGACTGAATATGATGAATTTTTATTATTTACTGATTCCATTCTGCTCCTCCATTGAGTTGGTGTAAGAGGTGTAGCTCGCATTGATTGGTCAAGCAAAGGAAGGTGTGAAATCCCTCCTTCCAACTGGTATAAAGAATCACAAACCAACATAATTATTTTCATAAAATTTAACTGAAGAAAATCCCCACGCTTTATGCTTCTTGGATACATTAAATAATCATGCACTTCATTTATTGATAACTTGTATATAGAAGTCTTTATCAAGAAAAAAGTAATTGTACATCCAAAAGGTTGCTAAATGTCCTCAAGATTACAACATGTATGAAAGTGGAGAAAAGAATTATAACCGAATCATGCAATGCCTGTAACTTAGAATTGCAAAATTCAAAAGTATTATCTTCAATTAACCCATCATACTTTGTTTGTTGAAGTTATTGGTCAAAAAGTCTTTAATGGAGAAGAGAAAAAGGGATGGCGAGGGGCAGTTGTTTAAAAGCATTGAATTTAAACTAAATAATGTGAAATTCCCAAACATTCTCCACATGCAAAATCAATAAAATTTACAGCTAACATCAAAACAAAATAGAGAGGATCTATAAACATGCAGCTCGCCTGTACAAGTGATGGTTTATATCGCAGCTTCAGTCTTGGGAAGGCATGGCCATTTGAAGCTGGAGAGATCTGAACCAATATATCAGAAAACCTGGGATCTTCCCTCACCCATTCTACATATGCAAGAGCATCTTTTGATGGCCCACTGTACTGCAAAACAAGGAGTTTCGGGGAAAAACCGATGACATATATGCTGAATAAAAATTCATTGTTGAAGAATTAACAAGCCTTGTTACTTGACTACAAACAGGTATCTTAATACACTAAATTAAGAAGGCGTTAATAAAAGTTCATTTTAATAGTGGACACAACAGCATAATACATATAGAAAAATCGATAGAACAATCAATTTCTAAACTAATATAGGCTAAACATTTTAATGATCATATACAGATGTTGAAAGGGCAATAAAGAGTCAAAGCATACCTGGGCATTAATCCCTTGTTCATTCAGGTATATACGACCATGAATATCCCGACCCTGAATTATCGACAAGAAAATCCATTATTAATTGATGTAGACATCTATCAGTACTGCCAAAGAAACAATATGTAGATGTCAGTTCCAATGGAGATTCTGAATTTTGTAATGACATTAATTGCGTCCATGCCATTAAGTTAAAGCTTTGCTGTGAACTTCGAACTACACACTCCCCTTGCAAGCATGTTTTAAGAGCGAATTCCACTCGATGTGCTTGTAACAATTGATATCAGAGTACAGCACACATTATGCACAAGGCAAACTGGGAGGACTAATAGCATACAAGACTAGTTTCGGGAAGTCATCTAATTGGGAATATGGACCACCGTGCTCGTCAGTTCTAAAAGGAGTAATAGAAAGTAATGACTATAATGCTATGTTAAAGTTCGACTTCTGGTTGTGGAGTTATAACCAATTTGGTACTCTCTCTATACAAGCAAAATTTAAGGACGAACACCTTTGCCAGCCGGTTTAATCAGTCCCTAACATGGTAGACGAAAATTTCAACTCTTAGGCTGCAACCTGCAGCTTCATGTAAACCAAGCTAGTACTAATTCTTACAGTCACCTGTCCGTAATACTAATTATTACAGTCAGCTGTCCGTCTTCCTTAAATCCCTTGCCACCATGGAAAAAAAGGCAAAAACTCTTCTTCTTCTTTTTTTTTTTATGAATTGTCATGAGTGTCACGGCTTAATGCACGGCTTGACAATAGGAGATTCATTTGTAAAGATTTATTCTTTCCATTTTTATTGTGATTAGCATTTATTTGTAATTATTCTAATTGACTATATATAGAAGAAATACTCACCACAATGGTGTAGTGGATTTTACTCAATCCTTCAATGAGTCTTTTATGATTATTCAATTTAAATAAGATCAATATTGAAAATTGACGAAGAAACACGAGTTTAAAATACCACAAAGAAACAAATCAAAAACTCACCTGCATGAAGGAAAGGTGTTTAGAGACCTGCTCTTCTGGGTTTTTAATACACACAAACCGGTAAAAATTCACCACTATGAACTCATCACTCTTGTATTCTTTAAGATTATCGGCCTCCACCTCTACCCAGTTTCCGTTGGAAGACCCAAATGCTAAAATCTTTAAATTATCTCCATATTTCAACGGATAATTGAACTGAGACGCAGAAAATTGCAGGGAAAATTGGGTTCTATTGTAGAAACCGGACAGTTGTTGAATGCGAGGGAAAATTGCTTTGCATTTTGGAACAATGGCATTATTGGGTCTCAAGATTGGTGTGCAAGTGGAAATTCCACCACAAGAATTCATTTGAATTGTGATTGTTTGCCAGTTATTTTTTGTGTAGTTTCGAGTATGGCTGAAATATGGATTAGAGAAATGATGGATCCTTCGCTCTTCAGTGTAACCACGATTTTACAGACAGAAGTCACGCTTACTGTTGAATCTTTTACTTCCTAATTTTTGTGTCCATGCTACGAGATTTTTTTTTTTTTTAATTTTTTAAAATTGAGAATGAGTTGGGCTCTTCAAATTTAGAGAGTTAAACTCACTCTCTATTTTTAATGTACAATGAATGTATTTAGTCCTTGTTTGGTGCTCATTATTTTAAAAAAAATAGTTGTGAATAGTAATTTTTTTAGGAGAATGCATGGTTAAAATTGAGGAAAAAAATTGAATTTACGTACAGAATATTTTATTATGTGAATGTGTGATTAAAAATGATCATGTAGTAAAAAGAGTTTCAAAACAATGAATACCAAACAAGAAAATAAATCATATATTTCAGCAATAGTCTACTTCTTAAATTATTCAAATTATACTTGAATTGATTGATCAATTGACATATAAAAAATTGTGTTAAATAAATTATGAACAGAAATCAATAAATATTTCTTGAAAAAAGCAAAATGAAGTGTCAAGATGGAAAGTTTGTTGGAGTCTAAAAATTTTGACTCTCTATATTTAAAAATATTCTATGTAATACATGAGATTTTTTTATGAATAAAGAGTTTTTGTTTTTTAAATGCTCTTATATCGGTAATAAACTTGACCTTAATTGTCTGTAGTATATCTCTAAAAAATTGGTTCAATCTTAAATTTAGGGTCCATTTGGTATGGCTTTCAAAAAGTCAAAATGAGTTTTTGAAACTTACTTTTGGATATTTTTTAATAATTTTATGAAAATACTTCTTTTAATTAGAAGATTTTTTAGAGAAAATTGGTCTAAAAGCACTTATGAAATATAGTAATTTTAATGAGATTTTGGGGAAAATGTATTTTAAAATAGTAATTTTTTGGAGAATATGTAGTTAAAAAGTAAGAAAAATTTTAAATTTACGTGTAACATTATTTTATTGAAAATGAATTTTAAAGAAAAAAGCATTTTTGAATGGAGACCAAACAAGGGTTAAAGTAACTCCCTTCAAAGGTTTTTTCCACAAAGAGCAAAAATAAAAGTCATGTCAAATCGGTTCATAGATACGTAGCCCCTGTTTGACAACCATTATTCTGAGAAATTTGAGTTTTGAATAGTAATTTTTTTGACAATGTGTAATTAAAAAGTAGAGAAAGTTTTGAGTTTACATATAAAATATTTTATTATGTAAATGTGTGGTTGTAAATGAATATGAGAATTAAAAGGTTTTAAAATGGTTATTGTCAAAACAGGGACGTGATAGATTAGATCTTAGTTCACTATAGAGTATTTCATAAAGATTTACTCGACCCTAAGTTGAGAATCCTATAAATTGATTTGGGGCTAGTTAACTACTAGCATAGGAGGGTCAAGTGAAATCATAATTATTAGACTCGTACTGGGTGTCGGGTTACTGATTAAACTGGTGGGTCAATGGTCAGACCAGTGGATCATTGCATAAATATATATATATATATACAAAAATAAATTTAGGCAAAATTATATTTTTTAAAATTATTTCTCAATAATTATTTAGGTCTATAAAAAAAAGAAAAAGGTTTGACCAAAATTTTTATAAAAATACTTTTAGAAAATATGTATATGTTCATTGAATACATATAACTTATTTGCATTAAAAAATATTGAAATACTCTACAATTCCAGTGGCGAGGAACTAATTGTTTACTTGGAGGTCTAAGGAACCTTGGACCCCAAAATTTTAAAAGGCAATTTTGAAAATCGGTAAATTAGTCAGGTTAACTAGATCAAAATCACTGATTAACTGCGTCAAAGTCGATTTTTGACCAAGTAATGTGTATACCTGTTAAATTAATGTACTCGGACAAGGGCCCAGATCATCGATTTTCTAACTCGAATTTTATAACTATGAGTGAATCCTACAAAATCGGCTCCACTCCGTTCATGTTGAAAGAATATCGATGATCAAGCATAAATAAATTGAGAAACATTTTTGAGAATGTAGTGGTAAGGATAAAGTTATGATTTAATAACTTAAAAATATTTACTTATATTTAAGTAAGCTTTTCTTTCTCAATATCTGAATATTAATTTTTTTCTTAGTTACTTGAAAGAGTAAAAATAAGTAACTTTTTATCGATTGTTAATTAGAAAAAAAAGATTTATTATAGAACCAATAGTACAATTTTCACAATGAATGACTTGTGGTGTAGTCTCCACCTCTATCAATTTCACCTTCACGAATCCCACAAAATCAAAATCCTTCCTGCTCGATGAGTAAGGAAATTGTTCACTTGCTAGTAACCGTTAAATTTATCTTACTGTTTTAAGTCAACCAATCAATATGTAGTTCCTTTATTTTTCTCAAAAAAAGAAAAATATTGGACTTTATTTCGGAATTTTTTCCATAGTAACATCTTCTTCTAGGTGAAGAAGTGATGCGATACAAAACACGCAAACTTGATTCAATTTTCGTCTACGTTTTACCTCCATTCTTTCAAAAATTCATTTTCTTTAAAATTCATTTTCAATAACACATTCTCTCATAAAATAATTTTACATATAAATCTTTTTCTTATTTTTAACCACATATTTTTCAAAAAATTACTATTCCAAAATACATTTCTCTTCTTATAATATATTTAATTATGGTGTTTTATTTAATTATAATTTAAATAGTATTTTAACTAAGTGGGGTCAATTTTATATTTAAAAAGAGTCTAGGGACTATAAAGCAATTTCAGTTAAGCTAGGAATTAGGTATTTTTATCAAAGCCGCAAAAGCGTATTGGAAGGTTTTCTAATTGATGAAAAATATTAATAGAATTTGGGAGAGATTTCCAATTCTTTTTCTTTATTTTTTTTAATCATTTTTTGTATTCAATGATCAATGGATTTGAGATCACCTTTATTTAAATTTCGTTTAGATGAATGTTATTAATTTTTTAAGTGCCAATGGTATAAAGATTTAATAGAATAGTGGATTGACATTTCAAGCAATTTTTCACCAATGCTTTGGAGGTTAGCCCAAACAATTACTTGGAAAAAGGTAATAGGTAAACGTTAAAAGGTTGAAGGATCAAACCGATGATAAAAAAAATATTAAATTTTATTTGAGCGACTACAACTTACGATTTAAATTGTAGGCTCTTAGTGTAAATCAACTAATTCTTGGCTTGTTCAAATAATTTTTAAATTTCTTCGATTATATTAGTGAGTTAGATGCAATTTTCAAAACAGTTGTGATATATGTATATAGTAGTTTACATAATATTTTATATACACATGATGTGTTGATATATGATTGATTTAAAATTTCTTCAACCAAATAAAAAAAATCTTATCAATTTAGACTAAGTAGGTTGAGTACTCATCAAGAGTTGAAGAGCACAAAAATGTTTAAAAACTTAAAATTTGCAAGTGTTGCTCAAATTTTCTCCACTCCTTTTATCAATTTAGCCTAAAGGAGCATGTCATTACGAGTATGTATTTGTATGGAATAAAAAAAATCTTATCAATTTAGACTAAGTAGGTTGAGTACTCATCAAGAGTTGAAGAGCACAAAAATGTTTAAAAACTTAAAATTTGCAAGTGTTGCTCAAATTTTCTCCACTCCTTTTATCAATTTAGACTAAAGGTGCATGTCATTACGAGTATGTATTTGTATGGAAAGAAAATAAATTTTAGACAATTCAATTGCCTAAAACTTATTTATTTGAAAATTATTACTTAAATGTGTTTGATTGATTTAGTTTTTAACATAAAAATATTATATATGTCTGTTTTTTTATTGGTAGATAGATGAGATGAATATGATAAATGAGAGAGAGAGAGAGAGAGAGTGAGAGAGTGAATTGCCTAAAAAAATAAAAATCACCCATTCGTAAAGAAAATGTTTTCATTGTTTTTTGAGAAAAATATGATCACATGATCAAAGTTGAAAAATATTTTTCATGGAGAAAACTGTCAATTAAACACCAAGTATGAATTTTGGTGAAAAATCACATTTTTCAAAGAAAACAAAGTCAATCAAACACTCTATAAGAGTTTATTTGAACCCCATTATAATCTAAGAATGTGTTTTGGAGAAGTAGATTGATTGAAAATCTGTGGTTAAAAAATAAAGAAAAAATTTAGCCCTTATTTGACACTCATTCTCTTTCTTCATTTCAACCATACATCCTCTAAATAAAATAATATTACACACAATTCTAAAATTTTTCATCACTTTTACATCACACATTCTCCCATCAATCACTATTTCAAAAATTTTCAACCCATTAAAATGGGTGACAAACACTCACTTAGGTTTGCGTGTAATATTTTTGTGAGAAATGTTATTTATCATTACTGATGAGTGTATTTTATACACTTATTCGGGGTTTGAAATTATAGAATTTTATTATTCTTTTGGCGATGAGTGTATTTTCTACACTTATTCGGGGTTTGAAATTATAGAATTTTATTATTTTTTTGGCAAAATATGACATAAATTGTGTCACATTGTATCTTGTAGAATTGAAATAAATAAAAATAGGGTTCAAACATTCATCCAATACAATTGAAAAACTAGCCTAACATATTTAAAATTAAATTGCAAAGGATGGTAGATTCGGCGTTTATAATAAGATAGATAAATCACGCAAAATCAAAAAAAAAAAAAAAAAAAAAGATTTATTATAGAACCAATAGTACCATTTTCCCAATGAATGACTTGTGTAGTCTCCACCTCTATCAATTTCACCTTCACGAATCCCACAAAATCAAAATCCTTCCTGCTCGATGAGTAAGGAAATTGTTCACTTGCTAGTAACCGTTGAATTTATCTTACTGTTTTAAGTCAACCAATCAATATGTAGTTCCTTTATTTTTCTCAAAAACAGAAACATATTGGACTTTATTTCGGAATTTTTTCCATAGTAACATCTTCTTCTAGGTGAAGAAGTGATGTGATACAAAACACGCAAACTTGATTCAATTTTCGTCTACGTTTTACCTCCATTCTTTCAAAAATTCATTTTCTTTAAAATTCATTTTCAATAACACATTCTCTCATAAAATAAATTTACATATAAATCTTTTTCTTATTTTTAACCACATATTCTTTAAAAAATTACTATTCCAAAGTACATTTCTCTTCTTATAATATATTTAATTATGGCGCTTTATTTAATTATAATTTAAATAGTATTTTAACTAAGTGGGGTGAATTTTATATTTAAAAAGAGTCTAGGGACTATAAAGAAATTTCAGTTAAGCTAGGAATTAGGTATTTTTATCAAAGCCGCAACAGCGTATTGGAAGGTTTTCTAATTGATGAAAATATTAATAGAATTTGGGAGAGATTTCCAATTCTTTTTTCTTTATTTTTTTTAATCATTTTTTGTATTCAATGATCAATGGATTTGAGATTACCTTTATTTAAATTTCGTTTAGATGAATGTTTTTAATTTTTTAAGTGCCAATGGTATAAAGATTTAATAGAGTAGTGGATCGACATTTCAAGCAATTTTTCACCAATGTTTTGGAAGTTAGCCCAAACAATTACTTGGAAAAAGGTAATAGGTAAACGTTAATAGGTTGAAGGATCAAACCGTTGGTAAAAAAATATTAAATTTTATTTGAGCGACTACAACTTACGATTTAAATTGTAGGCTCTTAGTGTAAATCAACTAATTCTTGGCTTGTTCAAATAATTTTTATATTTCTTCGATTATATTAGTGAGTTAGATGCAATTTTCAAAACAGTTGTGATATATGTATATAGTAGTTTACATAATATTTTATATACACATGATGTGTTGATATATTGATTGATTTAAAATTTCTTCAACCAAATAAAAAAAAAATCTTATCAATTTAGACTAAGTAGGTTGAGTACTCATCAAGAGTTGAAGAGCACAAAAATGTTTAAAAACTTAAAATTTGCAAGTGTTGCTCAAATTTTCTCCACTCCTTTTATCAATTTAGACTAAAGGCGCATGTCATTACGAGTATGTATTTGTATGGAAAGAAAATAAATTTTAGACAATTCAATTGCCTAAAACTTATTTATATGAAAATTATTACTTAAATGTGTTCGATTGATTTAGTTTTTAACATAAAAATATTATACATGTCTGTTTTTTTATTGGTAGATAGATGAGATGAATATGATAAATGAGAGAGAGAGAGAGAGAAAGTGAATTACCTAAAAAAAATAAAAATCACCCATTCGTAAAGAAAATGTTTTCACTGTTTTTTGAGAAAAATATGGTCACATGATCAAAGCTGAAAAATATTTTTCATGGAGAAAACTGTCAATTAAACTCCAAGTATGAATTTTCTTGAAAAATCACATTTTTCAAAGAAAACAAAGTCAATCAAACACTCTATAAGAGTTTATTTGAACCCCATTATAATTTAAGAATGTGTTTTGGAGAAGTAGATTGATTGAAAATCTGTGGTTAAAAAATAAAGAAAAAATTTAGCCCCTATTTGACACTCATTCTCTTTCTTCATTTCAACCATACATTCTCTAAATAAAATAATATTACACACAATTCTAAAACTTTTCATCACTTTTACACCACACATTCTCCCATCAATCACTATTTCAAAATTTTTCAACCCATTAAAATGGGTGACAAACACTCACTTAGGTTTGCGTGTAATATTATTTTGTGAGTAATGTTATTTATCATTACTGATGAGTGTATTTTCTACACTTATTCGGGGTTTGAAATTATAGAATTTTATTATTCTTTTGGCAAAATATGACATAAATTGTGTCACATTGTATCTTGTAGAATTGAAATAAATAAAAATAGGGTTCAAACATTCATCCAATACAATTGAAAAACTAGCCTAACATATTTAAAATTAAATTGCAAAGGAACAATTGGAAAATCATCACTCGGAAAGAAGAAATAATGAA